GCTGTGTTATAGAGTGCTCATAACAGATAAGTTTGGTATTTGTAAACGTAACCATTTGCTTTGGGAAATCTGACTCCAGTTGGAATCCAAAATGCGTGTATCAGTCTTGTAGATAGGAGAGAGGCAATCCAATTAGCCAATAATAGTATACCATGTGATATATGAACCCATCTGAAACAATTTGAATTTAAATACCCACAGCAACTGCTCATGAACTGATAAAGAATTATCTTTGACTGCACTCAACAAATCATTTTGAGTTATGAACATAGAACCGTTTGAATCTGCTCAGGAACAGGAAGACTTAAATGGAACTGAATGAATTATTTAATAAAAGGAACTCACACAACACTTGTGTAGTGGTGTATCCTAAGCAGTATCTCCTGCATCTTTTGTAGCAATATGTGGAGGTACTCATTAACAAACAACACACAGTAATCAGGACTGTAAATTTACAACTAATCTTGAACTAGAAGTAGTAGTACAGCAGATTTAAATTCCTACCTGCACTAGGGCAATGTCAGAAGTCTTGAAATAAATACAACAGGAACAAATTATTCTCTAAACTCTGTAGTTCCTGGAGAGAACAGCCTGAAAGGTTTTGAAATTTATATCAGTGAAATGCAAACATGAAACTGTCACAGTGCTGCACAGAAGCACACGCACTGCATGCAGGCTGCTACTTTGAGTAGTCTTACTGGCACAAACTGAGGATGCTCTGATTTCCTCTGACTTCAGTCAGCGGTGTCAGGAGGCCTATAATCAATTTCACAGTGACCACTTACTAAAAACGTTTGCTCAGAAACAGTCAATCAAATGCAATCTGTTTTCAGTCACAACTTTTGCTGTGCTACTGGTTTAACTGTGTAACTCTTCGTGTTATCTGAGGCTGTGACAGAGACAGATTTGCACCATGTATCATTGTAATGTTCTGTTAAAGCAATGTTGTGATTAGGAGCACAGATTTCTTTCTTTGTTGTACAGAAATATCCTGTAATTTCAGAGTAGAACTACAGGAATGGTAAGAGTGTTTTTGACACCACTACTCCATCAAGATATAGTGAGATTAGCAATGTATTACTTGTCCAGGAGGTCATATCCTAGAACACTTAGTAAGGTGAAATTGTTTCACTAATTAAAGACATGGGTGTGAGGAAGCCACCATTGCTCCCTCAATATTTGTCAACCAAGGGTCATAAAAGTTATATGAGAATGATATTTTATATATTTGTGATGCTGTATTTTATATACAGCTTTTCAAGATTATATTCTACATTTAAAAACAATAAATTAATCTCATTAAAACCATATTGTTCAAACTTATATTTGTGTTTGATGTTTATCAACACTGATTTTGCAACAACCATAATTAGAAAAGACAGTTTATTTAACAACTATACGTTTTCTGTACCTATGTTCCTCAAAAGTTGTACATGAGCAGACAGACGACTTTACAGCATGTGTTTGTAACATACCACCATCAGGTTAATATGCTTAGGTTAATTTTTGTGTGTGTGTGAAGCTATCATGAATCTTCTCAGTGGAATTGTCGAACACTTGTGAAGATTTAAAATTCTTAAACCAGAGTGTTTCAGGGGGGAAAATAGAAGAATATTTTTGTACTATATATCTTTTTTCATGCATTGCATGACGCTTGGCAGATTACTATACACTTTTTTTAAAAGGAGAAGTGAGAGTACAACTATGGCATGATGGAAAATAGAGCTGTCTTTTCAGATACACAGACTGCTGAAAAGTATGAACCGGCATTTAAAAGGAAAGACATTAATGAACAGAGCTCTTTGCTTCAGTGGATTTAAGATCAGGCCTTGGATAGGAACAGTGTGTCTGGAATTATGACACATTTTTGTCAGAGTACAATACTCTATGACCAGGTTCTTCAGTTATTCCACACGTGGAGGTTTTAATGTTAAATACCAGCTTTACTTATTTGAAGATATTTCACCTTATGCAGGTTTTTGATTTAGCAGAGTGATACAGCAATGCACTGAAATCACAAAACAAACACAAATTACACTTAGCAGAATATAGTAATTGACTATACAGATGAATCACAGTACAAACATGTTTCTCATTACTAGTCTTTTATGATATGCTCACTGTCACAGTGCTGGGCATCCACATTGGCTGGGAAGGAATGTGGGCGAAAGCCAGCTCAAGCCTTTCTTTGAATTTCTCTTTGTTACTTGCTCAGCTTTTGTACTCTGTTGAGTTGAGCCAGATATACACCCTCTGTGCTGGTCTGGCTAACTCAGGCAGACCTTCACACTCTTTTGTTGAGGTTTTGATTAACTGTTTGAGGACAAACATTCACGTAACCAGTTGATCCATGCAACTAATATTGCCATTTGTCTAAAACAAAGTCTACCATCTGGTCCTTTTGGTATTAAGTTCAGCTTTCTTTGCAACAGTGGTGGTCAGTGGATTTTGACTGAATTGGGTGTGAAAGTGTCTGTGTAATAATGACTAACATGTTCTCAGATGCAGACAGAGGAGTATTTTTACATGCATCTAGCTAATGAAAATTTGGGAAAATAGCCCAAATATTTTTTTTCCCAGTGATGTTTCGTAGTGAATCATGTTACTGTATTTCCTGCAGAGAAGAGGTCATTACCAGAGTGGTATTTTTCATATATGTGAATCTCCAGTTTAAAATCTTTTGACCTTCCTAAAGTCAATCACAAAACTTCTGTTAGGGTAACTGAAGAAATATCTTACCCTTAGTACTAAGATACCAAGCTATAGGACATCCATCTAAGCAATACAACTTTCTGGAAGTACTCATTCCATTGGAGTCCAGTGTTCACTAATGCAGACACTTTGGTGGAATTTTAGTTTCTTAGAGACTTTCTCCTTTAAAAAAAGATTTTTCATATATATTTGAAAAATTGTACTGTTGCAGACAGAACTGAATTTAATGCACTTGAACTTAATTTCATCTGTTTGCCTGGGAATAAGGATAAATTGTAAAGCAATTCAATAGACTTGGGGATCATTAGGTCTTCATTATAAGGACTTTTAAAATCAGATCTTATGCAATTTTGTTACTGTAGAATTAATACACTCATAATCAAAAACTTTGTACATTTCAGCTTCAATAAGTAAAGGAACCTGTTGCATTTCAGTAAGCAAAACATAAATGCCGCTGGTCAGATCAGCTGAAACAATGTTTTTTACACTATTGGCTTATTTTAGATAATCCTCACAAACATAGCCCTGTATAAGGTGCGACTGTGCTTTCAGACCAATGCATACATCTGTCTTCAAGTTTCTCTCCAAAGCAGAAAAATAAGTGACGCCTGAAAGTTTCATGATATTTATAGCTAGGGTTCATCAGTGGAATTACGTTTGCTTTCCTGTGGTATGAATATCTAGTCCCAGAGTAGGAGAGCATTGTCCAATGCTGCCCTTTGAGCAGCTGTCACCATGGCACGCTTAGGAATAATCTTCTGCTGATGTATGCAGTGAACTGATGAGACTTGAGGCTGTGGAGACGGTCTTGGAATTCCTCTGTGAACAGCCATTGAAACTCGCGTCTCTTGGAGCTGCTCTTTTCTTGCGGCTGCTGTGGGTGTTGTCTCCATCATTAGTGTCGAACACCACCGTCATGCTGGACTCCATTCTGGACACAGCGTATAGGCTACTTTGCCGGGTGGGATGAAACCTGGCTGCCTTGAGCTCTAGCTCATCATAGCTGGACACCTCAATGAAAGGGCACCAGCGGAAAGCTCGCTTGAAGCCAGCTCGGAACCTGGGAGGAAAGATGCTTGGTGAAAGCCTGTGCTTGCAAGAGGCAGCCGCAGGCCTTCATCTGAAAGTATATACCGCGCTGACAGCAAAATGACTTGGCTAATTATCTTGCCCCTAATCCTGTTTGTGGTGAAGTCAGTGGGAGTTTGCTTAACTAAAATCTGAGTAGGCTAAAAAAGATAATGGTAACAGCTCATTTCTGTTTCTGATTTTCTATTTACTTTCCCAGCATTTAAACATAGGTATTTTCCTGACACTCAGTTTCTTCTCCTTTGCCTGTGCCTAGATGAACAAACACCAGCTTTCATAGCACTGTCTTCAGAGAAATAGTTTTGATTTCACCTGTGATGAAATCTGCACCTGTATTTTCATCTTCTCTCAAGAAGAAACTTGGTAGCATTATTTTCTCTAAAATACCATCCCAGATTCCAATATACTTTCCATGTTTCCCTCTCTAACAGAGATGCTTAAATGGGATTGATATAATGACTAGTAATTGTTCATATAAATTATTTGAAAAATAATTTGTAATAATTAAATAAAGTCCTAGAAAGTTGAAAATGAAATGAGAATAGGAATTTTGAGGCTTTAGTGAATTAGTGCTTGCAATATTCATACAGTGTTATTTTACTTCAATTCAGAAGCAGAGGTTTACTATAAAGACTATTGTTACTTGTTTTGTGTATGCATTTCCAGAATAGAAGTTAAATATATTAGAAAAATAATTTGCTGTGTATTTATGTGTAACCTGAAAAAGAACACCTTTTCACCTAGACCTAAAACTTATCAGGCTTTTCTCACTTGTCTTGCTTCTCTTGTTTTTGTTTCAGCAATCAGTTGTGTTATTTATTTTGTCTATAAGCTTTTTGGAGCAATGGCTCAGCTACCATAGTGATGACCACAGATAAAAACTTAGGTTGAATTTTCAGTGAAAGTTGACTGGTCTCACAGAAATAACTTTCTTTCATCTGCAGTTTTTAAGTTGTCACCAGGTAACAGCTCTGTGGCAAAATGAGCACGTAGCTTGCTGTTCAACATTCCTCTGTTTGGATGCAGTCCACATTATGAAAAATATTGAAAGAACCTCTGATGGGAGTTGATTTAGTGAAGGAAGTTGTAAAACCTAAATGTCTTTAGACTGTACTATTTTTCCTCTCACCTTCTATCCTTTTTCTTATTCAGGGCATGGTTTCTCTTCATCTTGAAATAACGCTCTTTTTATCTAGATGCGGAAGTAATATCCTAATAAGCCTGGAAGATGAGACTGGGGACAGATGTTATAACTCTGTCTGATACTGGATCCAGCAGAGGTGATAATACTGCAGTGTGTCTCAAAATTGTGAAATTGTTGTTGATTTATATTTTTTAGTCTAGACATTTAATTTTGCAGTGTATGAGTGTCAACGTCAGCCTCTTCAGGGATACAATTTTTTAATGAATTACATATTTTGTAACTCTACCATTAAAAGCTTTTGAAGAAAATGGTAATGTTTCAAAGGTTTTGTGGTAGTAGCTGAGAAAATATGAGGCCTGGTTCTTCCTCGCTTTTGATTTTGCAGACACCAGACACTCAATGAAATGTGATTTCTGTTGATGTTAATGGGAAATTTGCCATTTGAGTTATGATTTTGTTCTGACATACTAAAACTTTAGCTTCTCTTTAAACAGTTGTAAATGATAAAAGGGGCAGAAAGCTGTATGAAATCACACATTACTGTGACATTTTAAAAGACTATGAGTGTTAGGCATCATAAGCTATCCTCATCAAGGAGGCAAACTACAGTGTTTTTGCACCAATAAAAACTCGGCAGGATTTGGTCACTAACAACTAATTCATTGTTCTTGGTGGTCTTTATCCAGTGATACTAGAAGCAATACTGAAAAACAGGATGGTTAGGATAATGTTTGTTTAGATCCAAGCTGAAATGAAAAACAAGAGTTCATTCTGCAAACCAGTAGTTTCAGACTGACAAATACATGTAAAATCTCACAAATCTCAACGGATCCAGTGCCTTTGAAATTCAGAGCATAATGCATTGCTATGAAACAGTACTGTAATTTAGTATTGAGTAATGAGAATATAAATATTTGTTTTATTAGCCTGTTATAGACCTCAGAGCTCAGTAGAAATCTAATAGTGAGGTGTAAAAATACACAGTAAATCACATTTTATGTTATATACTTCCAGCACTGCAAAACAAATTTATGGCTACAATTAGTTAGTGAACATACAGATTGCACTATATATCACTAATGACTGTCTTTACTACTTAATTTTGATATTTTGCGAACCAAAAAATATTAAACTGCTATAGATTTTAAATTTTGCATATGACAGTGGGAAGGGTTGCTTTTTGAATACTTAATTTTGTTCTGAAATTTTAAGTAGACAGAAGTATTTACTGGAAGTGTGCATTTGGTTTTTTTGGAATTCATTTCAAGTACAAACCTAAAGGAAGGTTTTTTTGTATTTTGTTCTCTTTCCCACTAACTGAAAATTATTCAAGTGAAAAATCTTTGTCTTTTATTGCATTTAAACCATTTATAATCTAATTGAAGTTATGCATACCAAGTGTTTCATAACCAGCTCTTACCTCTTATTAAGACAGCAGTAGATAATTGGATTGTACATTGTAGAGCTCATGGCAAGCCAAAAGCTGGCCAAATAGATTTGCTGAATGTATTTCCACCGATTTAATTGTTGATAGATCCCAGTAACTATGAAGTAAATGTGGTAAGGCAGCCAGCAGATGGCAAATGTCAGCACAACGACAATCATCATTTTTACCACCTGAAAGAAGGAAGCAATAATGTTATTTAATAATTTACATTAGCCTTTTTTATTTGGACTAGCACTTCAACATCCATTAATGATTTTCTTGCATTTGATTATTAAAGTTAGTCAAAACAAAGATGAATATGCTTTTATATAATTATCCTTTTAATCTGACTTTCCTAAATTTCTGGGGTGGTTTTTTGTTGTTGTTGTTGTTGTTTTTTATTTTTTATTTTTCCTTAGCTGGAGATCCTCCTTGTCCTAAGAAAAATAAGATGAAAATATTCTTTCATTTTATTTGTATTGTTTCTTCCAAGTAGTGCATTTGCTTACTTGTATTTGGCTATCTAAAATATTACTTTTTTTTCCCTGTACATCTAATAATGAAGTAACATTATATGGTGTTTTATTTGAACACCTTGTTTTGGCCTTTGCTGTCCCTGGTGCTTTTTCTACTGTGTTCTGCAAGAATAGTCCTTGTACCTGATTATTAGATATGATTTGAGTAAATACTAGGTTGTAGGAAATGAACAACTGCACTATCCTGTTTAATTTCAGAGGCTAACAATTTCCTTGGCTGGTGATCATTATTTGTTGTTCTCTGCAGGCATTGTGACATCTGTTAGATACCATAGTTTCCATTAAGTACAAATAAAAAGAAGCTCTGTTTTGTGCTTGCAACACGAGAAGAAAAGTTGCAAGTCGTGTAAAACTTCACTCCTGTCTTTCCCTCTTCAGCTATTCCAACTGCTAGTCCAGGTACCATTTTCAACACAATATGTCACATGTTTACACAACAAATTTTCTTTGTATAGGCAAAATGAAACCAGGTGTGATAGATCTGTGCTAGGAGGTCTCTTGTTCATTTGTACTGTGAATACTGAGGAATAATAGGGATTGCTCACAACAGTTCCTTTTATATCTCTGTACATGGTGCTGTTTCTTACTGTTTGTGGTTTTTCTAGGAGGAAAAAAAAAAGACCTGAAGTTTCCCATACCTACATATCTTAGGTTGATAATTTTATAAAATTTCAGCTATCATAATAAATATTTTTACACATGAGTGTTATGGTGTAATCATTAACTCATATTACATTTTCCTGTGGGAAACATAAAGCAATTTTTCATTTAAGATCTGGCACCAGTTCACAAGCTTTCCTGCTGGCTGGGACTGTACTGTACAAGTTTTTGCATATGAGAATACTTATTATTACTGATACACATACTTATCATTTCATAAAGATACAAAAGGAACATCTGTCCACACATAAAACAGCATTATTAATATTTGGTTCTTCTAAAGCAACAGTTAACTGTAAATCATTGCAGAAGGAAGGTCAGTATTATTATAATGGAAATATACCAAAGTACACCAAAACATAGTTTCACTTTCGGTGAGTTTTTATCCGTATGTCTTTACCTTTACCTTTACACCATGTATGGGTGTATATGGGACTGTATGTGAGATGTTTTTTGAGGGACAAAAGAGGTTGTGACTCTATGTGAATAGACATTTCTGGACTAAATTATGTATTGGAAATGATGCCATAAAAATATGTTGTCAAATCACAATCTATCATTAAATGGCATGTCTTTTCTACCCCTTTGGACATAACTTCCACTATTCTTCTACTGGGGATTTACACCTGTGCCTTGCACACATTGTACATGTAGAAGACTTAACTCTGTAGTTTTACCACTGTACTTGAGCTCTGTGTCCATTGATTTACTGGTGCACTTTGCTTGTCGCTTTGTTTTTATATCTGCCAGGAATGATAAGTATTACTTCAACACCATTCAGGATTTTTGTAATTTCAGAACACTTGAGAGCCTAATTACTTGCCTTGATATTTAATTAGCAATACCAGTAGCAGTAACTTGCAGTACCAGCTCTGCATGTGAAATTATTCCTAGGTTTATTTAGCATTGGAATATCATAGGTACTAAATGGAAGGATTTTTGTCTCCCAAGTTTTCAAAGTGTAATCAGGCAAATCCATGTTTGTACTGAACATTTCACCTGTTCGGTCCTTGAGAACTGAAACAGTAGAGCTGTTAAAAAAATTACCTAAAAATTATCGTATCATTTTTTTCTCAGATAAGAATGTATCAGTCTGAGTTTCACTGAAGTGAATGGTAATATACTGATACCTGTATGTTTAGGGGGAGAAATGCAATGGGGTTTTCCTATTAATGTGTAAAGTGTTTTTTCCTGGAACAATTAAGTGCTATTTTTTCCAGCAAAAATGGACGTTTAAGAAAAGTCAGTGTTAAGTTGTCATTCTTTTGAGTAGTTAGTAGTACAATGCACTCATTGACATATTACCTGAGGAAAAGATACTTGAGATGTTGCAAGTCTATGTGGCATAAAATTGTTTGAAACATGGGGCAATTACAGTTGTATTTTATATCAATCACGGAAGTTATGAGAGGAACCAAAAAGCACTATTCCCTCCTAATTTCATCAGCTAATAATGAATATTTGTTGGCAGAATTGGAGGAAAATAAGAATAAGAGGAAGCTGAAAAGGAGGGAGATTAGTCTTAATTTCTTTACACTTTCAGAGATAGGCACACACACAGTGCAAGGCCATACCTTACAGTTTATGGCTGCAGTTCTTGTCCATCCTCTTGGTCTTTCCAGCGTTAAGTTTCATTTCTTGATTACATCAATAACTGTGAACAGAAGCTGCTTTCAATTTCTATAAACCCAGGGCACCTTGAGTTTATTTGGTATAAATCCTGAAGAATGAGTGCCAGTAAACTGTTAAGCTCAATTAGGGCACAGGGAAAATAAGTGAACAGGCCAAGTATGAATTTGCCACAAAAGCCTGATTGTCTTTTCCCAGTACACTGTGATGTTTCACTAAAAAATCTCCACTGACACTTTGCAGGTTCAACTGCAGAGTAAAAAAGAGAGCCTCTTTCTTTTTTTTTGAATACTTAGACCTGTGACTCTGACAATACAAAGTTCTTTTTTTTCATTCTTTTTAATATGTCTGTTCTGCTTTATTTATTTGAGTTATTACCATTTTTCAATTGCTTTCTCTCTGTTCTGTGTTGCATGGAATTAATAATAAGAGTTTACTCTTGTGTGTTATGAAACATTTCTAAAGCAAGAAAACCAGAAAACTACTGAATGCAGTTGTGCTTTAATGTCTAGCTCTTTTCCTGCCACCATTTCACCATGGAGCATTCCAAAATGTGTGATTGCAGTGAACTTGAACCTGTGTCCCAGTGACATCACTCTGTTCTGTTCAGTCTCCCTTTGTGTATTCTGGGCAGCATGGCTGAGGGAAACGTGGTTTTTGTGTTCCAGGACTTACTTCTGTTAAAATGAGTTTTCTCTCAGTTGAGCAACCTTTAGGCAAGTCTTGAGCTAGATTTGGAATATGATGGAAAATCAAAGTATTTTATATTTTGCTCAACATATTCTGCTGATATTGATGTAGTCCTGCCTATGTCTAAGAAAAACTGTGTCTATAAAAAAGGTAGTTTATGTTCTTTGTAGTCTTGTCCGTTTCATTAAATCCTTCGTTTCTGAGTAAGAAGCATTCTTCCATTAATGAATTTTATGTAATGAGGAAAGGAATGTATTTAAAAGGACAAAACCAATGTAAGTCCATTGAAATTGGAGTTTGCAGGTTTGCCTTTGTTATGAAACATTTGAAGCAGAAAAAGTGAAAAGGAGCCAGCAGATTCTGCTACACTCACAAAGAGCAGCAAATAGGAGTTTTTTTTCCGTCCCTTTTTTTTTCATTAAAAACAGCTAGGAAAATGAGTCTGATTTAGATGTAGCATTGAGAATAGCTCTTGAAAATTTAGGAATAAAATATACTTTTCTGAGAGCCTCAGTTGATGCTGGGATGCTATAGCAATTCGCATTATAAGGCATTGATTTGCCATCAATACCTAAGACTTAGGCTGGGGTTATAATTTCCTTTTTAATCTGCTCTGCAGCCCCTTATTGCCTTTCTAAATCATCTTTGATGTTTCTGCTTCTACAAGGTCAGGAATTTGGCTTTTGATTTCATTTGCACCAACATCACACGCTATAACTTGATCAGTTTTGGAACTTTTACTCCTAGGTGTTATACAGATGTAAATGAGAAGCAGAGCAAATACTTTAAGAACCCATACAGTGTAAGAAAGTCTTTACCCACTCATGGATATTATTTGTCCATGTGACTACAACATAAAACACAGTTCACAGAAAATCTTTGGTAGTCATAATGTGTTTCTCTTTCTGCTCTGTGCTCTTTTGAAATAAATGAAATACCAGACTGACATTGCACAATATATTTCTCCCAAAATGTTAGGATGCAATCAGTAAATCCATTTCTCAGTCATGGGGAGACACATGGCACTTGTGCATTAAGTACCAGAGGGAAGGGAACAACATCATGTCTTTTGCTTCTCCACAGTGTCTAGTTGGAGTAAACTATCCTTTGCAAGAAAATTAGTGTTCAAAGGTAACTCTACTGACATTAGTACAGAGATAGGACTGTTTTCTGAGATATCAGGTGCTGTGGGTTTTCAAAAATTTTTTATAAACTCAGGGATTTTTGGTGCTCTTTTAGCCCACAGAAAGGATAGATTCTTAATAGCTGAAGGAGACGCACATTTAGAAGGAGAAAGAATTGGAGAGCTTGATATTCTTTCAGTCAGGTAAGATACTTGTCAATTCCAGTGCTCGATAAATAATTTTATTCTTCTCACTTACACTTTCCATCCATGTTTTCTCAGTTGCTTGAAATATAGAAACTGCTTTTCATTTCAGTTTACATAATCCCTCGCTGCAGACAGAATTCACAATCACTTACTTTGTTATTTAAGCTATAAAGTTGAAAAGATGTTCTGTTCTAGTATGCAGTAGCTTTGAATCAGATTGCTATCTTACATATGCCAAAATGTGGGATCTCTCCCCAGATCAAAGCAATTCTGATATTTTTCATGAACAATCTTAGCTACTGCCATTTTAAAATGATACTTTTCTGTCGTTGCATGGAAAACAGCT